AAACTATAACTTTTATCATATGTTACTTTAGTTTTCCTTTTTGAAAATTCTCTTTTATAGCAGAAATCACAATTATCGACATGTTTTAATAGTTTTTACAGTTTGTCATGAACTAATTTACTGACTAAAATTACTCTATTTTAATTTTAATTTTAATTTAACTTTTCTATCATTTTTTTGCCCCCTAATTAAGAAATATTTAAGAACTAAAATTGATTTTAAGCATTTCTAAAATTTTGTCCTTACTGCACTACTGCAGGAATGGGATTTTCGAACCGAAATATCGGTCCAGATATATAGGAAATCAGTCTGAATACATATATACAGACCGATATTGGTCCTTATAGTTGATCTGAAAAAACCTGATACGAATAAGTCTAATATACAGAGCGACGTATAATCGGTTCGTATATATATAATATCCGGACCGAAATCGGTCTGGATATTTCAGTAAGAAATATAAATAATTATTGAGAAATTGAAATAAGCGGACCGAAATTGGTCCCAAAAAAATAATATAATAAAATAATAAAATATATACGAACCGACAACGGTCTGTAACTGTGCCAGGAAGAGGCATCGCAAATATATACGGACCGGTGTCGGTCCGAATATTGAGGACCCAGCGGCAACTTTTAAAACTTGCAACTATATCCAGACCGTTTTCGGTCCGAATATTGTGGACTTGCTTGTAACTTTTAAAAGTTCCGTCTCCCAACCAGCGTCATTCTATAAATATATACAGACCGTTTTCGGTTCGAATATTGTGGACTTGCTTGTAACTTTTAAAAGTTCCGTCTCCCAACAGGCGTCATTCTATAAATATATACAGACCGTTTTCGGTCCGAATAATGTGGACTTGCTTGTAACTTTTAAAAGTTCCGTCTCCCAACAGGCGTCATTCTATAAATATATCCAGACCGTTTTCGGTCCGAATAATGTGGACTTGCTTGTAACTTTTAAAAGTTTCGTCTCCCAACAGGCGTCATTCTATAAATATATCCAGACCGTTTTCGGTCCAAATATTGTGGACTTGCTTGTAACTTTTAAAAGTTTCGTCTTCAAACAGGCGTCATTCTATAAATATATCCAGACCGTTTTTGGTCCGAATATTGTGGACTTGCTTGTAACTTTTAAAAGTTTCGTCTTCAAACAAGCGTCATTCTATAAATATATCCAGACCGTTTTTGGTCCGAATATTGTGGACTTGCTTGTAACTTTTAAAAGTTCCGTCTTC